ACTCACCCTTTCCTCTTTGGCCTTCCTCAATTCAACCTCATGATCCTCCCTCGGCTCCGCCAGTATCGCCTCACACTTCCCGATATTCGTCTTGCAAGTCTCTTTTTCGAGACGTTCTCTCTCGATTTTCTTTTTGAGCTTGTTGATTTGGTCGGCGATGTCTTCTCTGCGCGTGCCCTACAAGTATTTCCGTATCAGCTATTGTTTATTGTTCAAGAGGGGGCGGGTGGGAGGGGGAGGGAGGATTTACGAGTTGGTCGAGGGCTTGTTTCGTCTCTCGAAGATTTGCAAAAGTGTGTTTCTGGCGGTCTTGCATGACTTTGACTTTACCGTTCGCTTTGTGTACTGCATTGTCCCACGTCCTACCGTGACATCAGCTGCTTAATCCATTTCCATTTCCATTTCCCTTTCCATTTCCCCATCTTCCTTTTCCTCCAAGGAAAAGAGAAGAGCAGAAATGGAAGAAAGAGGAAAAAAAAGAAAGAAAAAGACCCACTCTTGCAAATCCCTCAAAGGCTGCCTCCCACTCTCATGCCCCTCCAACTTTTCCTTCACCTTATCCCTCACCACCCCCGCCCTGACCGACTGTTCCCTCAACTTGACATGCTCCGCAATACCCAGGATATGCTCCAACACTTCTTTCTGCGAGGACACACGTACACGTCAGCAGGGGCAAATCAGTGCAAAGAGGGGAGGAGAGACGTACTTCAAACTCGCGCGTTTCGCGTTCGCGGACGTGTTCGACATCCGGGGCGAGGGAGTCGACTTGGGTTTGGGATTTGTCCCTCGAAGCGACGTGCTTCTCTAGGTTCTACAACGGGCTCTATTAGTAGCTGTAGCTGGGTGTGTATCTTGGAGTAGTAAGAGGACGGAGGTCGGATGGAGGGGACGTACTTCTTCAAGGGCGCTGGCTTTTTTACCTTTGGCGATGAGTGTTTCGTGCCATTTAGTCAGACGGGGATCGCCTGCGGCGCGCATGGTCTCTTTGAGGACGGTGACAGCGTCCATCTTTGCGAATTCCGCAACCTTGTCTTGGGGCAAGAACGAACTTACCCCCAAATCAGTCTTTCTTCAATAAAGAGCTGAAGAAGCAGAGCAGACATACCACAAATTATTAGCCTGCACCCCATACCCCTGCACAACCTCCATAACCTTCGTCCTCGTCGCAACCTCCCCATCAAGGAGCCACTCCGACTTTTCGTTCATCCGGTTGAATTTGCGGCAGATGATGGTGTTGGGCGTGCCGGGGCGGCCTTTGATCTCGATTTCGAGCTGGCTTTCGTCGTGACCTTGTTTGACGTAGGAGCGGATTTCGTTGGCGCGGCCCATCACCTGTAGAAGGTGTCAGTTGAAGCAGAAGAGGGAGGAGAGGGGGAGGTGACAGACTTTGGGTGGGAAACCGAGGCCGATGGCGATAGACGCTGCGATAGAGCTTTTACCGGTACCGTTAGGACCGAGGATCATATTGAGGTGCGGTCCTGGGTGGAATTCGACGTGATCATAGGTCATGAAATTTGTCGTCTTGATCCGCACTACAGACCCCGCGACATACCTACCAAAACGCGTCCAGTCAGTCTCTCATCAGACGCGTCAAAAAACCACTCACCCGTCTTCGCCTCGGTCATATTTGACTTTAAAACTATCCCCCTGCTCCGCATAAGCTTGGCCCTCAGCTTCCACATCCTGCTCCTCCATCCTCCTATAATACTCGTCTTCCTCATTCTCCCCCTCCCCCTCCCCCTGCCCCTCCTCGTCCTCGGCGACGCGCTGGGACAGGCGTCGTTTACGCGTGGAGGCGGAGTCTTCGTCGTCAGAGTCGGGTGCGCGGGTGCGCTTATTGCGGCTGGAAGAGGCGGAGGCGTTCATACCAGCCATGTTGGGATAGGGGGTGGGAAAGAGAAGAGGTCATGTTGAACGCGTCGAGAGGGGTGCAGCTGTTACGTAAAGATGATAACTATTGGTTACACAATTCAACGTTTAACAATTCTAACTTCTAAGTCATACACATGATCTAAACAGGATAACAAAACAGACATAAGGAGATACAACTCGAACAACACAGCGATCTTTACAGGACAAAACTAATTCCGCTGAGGATGGGAATGGAAGGGGAGATTTAACCGTCGCGTCTATCGGCATCCATACGGGCGACCTCTGAAGTTTTCCCAGTACCACCACCTGCTTGGGTCTACCGCGACATTGCAAAACCTGGGCTGAAGGTAAGATCCTCGAATCTTTTCATCCTAGAAGCTCCCACAAAAGTCAAACCCCTGGAGAACTCCCGATGACCAATGTCAAGAATGACCTTCTAAAAGGTTGGACCCGAAAGATTGACTAGCTGTTGAGGACGAGCGGCCTCTGCGCCTGGGTCGAAACGAGAATTGACGCGTGCACTATTGCGGCTCGCGCAGGTTGGGCTGATGATGCTGGAGAAGGAGTATCAGCAGGGGCTGGTATCGGTGCAGGATCTGCAACTGGAGCTGGGGCGGGAGTTGGGCGGGAGAGGAGTGCGCTGTCTATCGCTGCGGCGAAGAGGGGCTGGATCAGGTCGAGAGCGTTTCTGAGCGGCGGAGAGCCTTGTAGAGGTGCGTGTAGTGGGTGGCATGAGTTGAGTATGAGTTGGTAGATGATTTGATTAAATCCAAGAAGAAGGCCAGAAACGCGAAATGATAGAAAGAAAACGCGTCAAAAAGTCACTCAAGCCAACAAAAAGCAAGTGATGGTATGGCAGAAGACGCGTCAAAAGGGGCGAGTCGCGGGGGACTTGAAGCCAAAAAGGGCACATCTGAGGCAAGTCGTACAAGCATGCATAGTGAATTTAAAACCACATTATTGAACCGCCAGTCAAGGGTCATCGAATGCAAGGATGTTCGAAGCTCTACAATGAATGACGATTGAGAACGATGGTAGCATCGAAAAGGTCATAATCACAGAAAGAGTAAACCAGTCATTCCTCTCCCTTTCTATGTTCTCCCGTGCTCCAACATGGCCTCCTCCTTCGCCCAAATGTCTTCCGAAAAACTCGCCCAACTCCAGACCCAGCTCCCCGACATCCTCACAGACGCAGAGAAGCTCTTGCCGGAAGAGAAGAGGAATGAAGTGATTCGGGACAAGATGCTGGCGCGGATTATGGCGCAGGGGCAGCATAAGATGCAGCAGCAAGGGGCCGGGATGGGGATGCAGAGCCCGATGATGGGGATGCAGCAGGGGATGCAGAATGGAAAGATCCCAGTCAACCAAAGCCAGCTCGTGTGTCCCCCCTCCCATACCCACTAGCTTTCATACTGATAGGACTACAAGGCGTACCAAGAACAGCTCCGCCACCAACTCCAACAGCAGCAGCAGCAACAACAACACCTCGCCATGCAATCCCGCCTCCAACAACAATCCGCCGCTGCCCAACAAAGCCGCACTGGCACACCCAGGCCAACGCAGCCGATGACGCCCATGCCGCAGGGGCCCATCAACACGGCTTCGCCCCAGTCGCACGGCGGGATCGTCTCGCCGCAGGTCATCCGCCAGTCGCCCAGCACCGCGCCGGGAAGGCCGGTGGGGCTGCCGATGCAGGGGATCAAGACGCTTATTGACAATTTCCCAAAGCTTATGGAGCTGAAGAGGCAGGGGAAGCTGAAGCCGGAACAAGAGCGGCTGGTGAGTATCTTTGTCCCAAACCTCCCGATGGGCCTTGCTGACTGGGGGGTAGTTTGATCAATTCATGTCGAGCCCGGATGGGCAAAACCACCTCCGAGAATTCCGAGCGCACCAAGCTCGTCTGCTAGTAGAACGCGGCCTGACCAACCCCGTCGCCCATCCCGCCGGACTCCAACCCCAACAAACCCCCGCTATGAACAACATGCAGCTCCCCCTCGCTGCCCAACAACAGCTCGCAGCTTTGCAACAACAACAGCAACAACAACAGCAAAACCAACAACCCTTCCCCCTCAACCCCCAGACCCAATCCCAATCTCTCCAAAACCAACTTGCTCCCCAGTTCGCGCAAAACCTCGCAGGCGCGGGGTTGCACCATAATCAGAATCAGCTGACGCCGCAGCAGATGCAGGCGCTGCAGTTGCAGAGGCTGGCGGCGGCGCAGATGCAGGCTGCGCAGAATGGAGGACGGGCAGGGATGGGGGGCCAGGGGTTGGTGCCAAATCAGGCGATGATCAACCAAGCTGCCCTTGCGCGCGCCGCGCAACAGGCTCAGGCGCAACAGCCTCAGAACGGGATGATGGGCATGTCGCCCCATATTGCTGCTCAAGCTCAAGCCCAGGGGCAAGGGCAGGGGCAGTCCCCGGGCGGTTTTGGAAGTCCGAGGCCGGGGGCGAGACCGCCGATGTCGTTACAGCAGATGTTGATCAATATCCAACCTTCCATGTCGCGCGTAGCGCCGGATAAGGTGGAGAGTGTTAAGGCGATGTTGATGAGGTTGGCGAATATGAGTGATGAAGAGAGGGATGGGGCTTTTAAAGCTGTACGTTCTCCTTCCTCTTCTTTCCTTTCCTTTTCTCTTGTGGTTTTGGCGGGGGCTGATGATGGGAACAGAGCCCGCAGTGGATCCCACTTTGGAACAGAGCGACGGGGGGTGGGAACCAGAACCAACTCGCCCAGCAAGCCGCCCAACAAGCCCAAGTCCAAGCCGCCCAACAAGCACACGCCGCCGCCCAAGCCCAAGCTGCCGCCCAAGCTGCAGCCGCCGCCCAAGCACAAATGACCGGCTCTCCACACGTCGGCCTCCAAAACGGTACCCCCATCATGCGCCCCGGGTCCGCCCCGGCGGTGGCGGGGTTCAACGCCATAAACAATGTCTCGAATTTACATATCCCTGCTGGGAAAGCGAGGGGGTTGCAGGGGCAGGGTGTGGCGGCGGGTTCGCCGAATATGAGGCTTTTACAGCCTGCTGGGGATGGACAGCAGCAGCTGCCACCGGGATTACAGGCGGATCCGAGTATTGTGCAGAGGTTGTTGGAGCAGGGGATTCCGGTACAACAAGCTGCTCAGGTGTTTGCGAGGCATCAGCAGCAACTCGCTGCTGCCGCTGCTGCTGGGGGGAACCCCGCTTACCCGGGGTTGGCGGCGCAGCATCCGTCGGGTGGGACGCCCCAACCACAGAGAAATATTACGCCGGCCATGCTTCTCGCCCAATACTCACACGACATGCCTTCCCGTCCCCCTCCCTCCCGCCCCGAACAGATCGTCCCCGACGCACCCGCGCCGACGGACCAATCCCTCTCCATCCTCTCCCGCGCTTCGTGGGTGCCAAACTACACTGACGACGTCCGCGTCGAGAGCATGTTTAAACCGCAAACCGTAGCGGAGACTGGGAGCAGGACGGTAGGAAGGGGCACGTTGGGGTGGAGGAGGGTGGATCGGGAGGGGGTTGATGATTGGCCCGAAGGGCTGCGGGAGGCGGTGGATGAAGAGGCGGAGGATGAGGAGGGGGAGGAAGGGGAGGGGAAAGGGCGGGCGAGTGGGATGCCGGGGCAGAAGAGGAGGAAGGTGCAGGAGGTGGCGGAGGAGGTTGATAAGGCGCTGAAGATACCGAAGGATTCGGAGACTGTGAGTTTTTCTTTTGCTGGATGCAGAGGGGAGAGGAGCTGATGAGGGGGTAGTTGTTGTTGGAGCTGTTTGATGAGCATTCCGATGTAATCTCCGAGGCGAGCTGTATGCTTGCCAAACACCGAAGAGCGACCACGCTCGACAGAAAAGATATTCAACTTTCATGGGGCAAGTCCCCTCCTTCTTCAAATTCCCTTGCCATCATTTAACACCATTGTAGAACTACTGTACGGCCGAATCATACCAGGCTTCTCCTCCGAC